TTGTATTTTTTAAAGCACAAGGAACAGCTTTCATTAACATGATAAGACACGTCAAGTAATATGACGTAGTTGTCAGGCAGCATCAAACAACAGACTGCCTGCCACCTATGGTATGCCATTGATAAGACAAAATCGTACAGTTTGAATCATGAATGAACGATGTTTCTCTTGTTTGTTTGTTGTTTTTTGATTTGCATTGACCATAATGGAATAATACTTGTCAGTGTTTCTGTATTTTCTGAAATCTATTATTCACAGTTTATTGTTATATGGTGAATACTAGATTAACTTCGTAAGTAACCAAACAACTGTAATGTCATTTTAGGAGGTTTAGTTCAGTGAGACGTACTGTGTGACCCGAATAAGAAACGAATCTGTGAGACATACTGTGTGACCCGAATAAGAAACGAATCTGTGAGACATACTGTGTGACCCGAATAAGAAACGAATCTGTGAGACATACTGTGTGACCCGAATAAGAAACGAATCTATGAGACATACTGTGTGACCCGAATTAGACGCGAATCTGAGAGACATACTGTGTGACCCGAATTAGACGCGAATCTGTGAGACATACTGTGTGACCCGAATAAGAAACGAATCTGTGAGACATACTGTGTGACCCGAATTAGACGCGAATCTGAGAGACATACTGTGTGATCCTAATTAGACGCGAATCTGTGTCAACCAAACCGCGAAGAGCGGGAGGTACTATCAAGCTAATATTTGTGTGGCTATTTTAACATGTATTTATATCTTTGTATGAATGTTTTCCAAATATATGAACGTCTATTCATAAGCTAATAATATTCTTATTAAATAACTTAATACTAGCGGAAGAGACAAGTGTGATATTTTGTTTCGTATTTAACACAAGAACAATAATTTGTTGTTACAGCAATGTCCTCGCCATGATACTGTTAGAGGATACTATAAAGTGAACAAACCTTTCTTGTCATAACAATATCCTCGCCATGATACTGCTAAACGATATTATTCAGTTACAAGTCTTTCTTTTCACAGCAATATCCTCGCCATGATACTGTTAGAGGATACTATAAAGTGAACCAGCCTTTCTTGTCATAGCAATATCCTCGCCATGATACTGCTAGAGGATACTATAAAGTGAACAAGCCTTTCTTGTCACAGCAATATCCTCGCCATGATACTACAAGAAGCCGTTATTCAATAATTAGTCAATGACAGCCATAAACAGTATAAACTTCTTATCATAGATATTCAATATGCTGAACCTTGAACGAATATAACTAAATCCATTCATCGTGTTAGACAGAGCGCAGATAGCCCATTGTGAAACTTTGTGTTAAAACAAACAGACCAATGAATTAAAACTAATTTATCATATTCATATACCATTAAATCTTTTTCTCTCAACGCATGCTACTTTTCAAATTACGTTCGTATTTCACCAAATTCACACGTACCCATGTAAAAACAGTGGGTTCGTTTTTAGCTCTACAACGAAGCAAGAATCATCAAAATTTTGATTAAAAATCCTGTCTTCTGAGAACCCGCGAAATTAGTTTCGCGAACAGTTGGCACTCCTTTGTGACATCATTTGATATTGCAGATATTATTAAATTAACTTGTCGTGAGATGTTTTCATCACTTCGAGACCAGTAAAGCTAAACTGTTACGATATTTCTACGTAAGAATGAGTCATAAATGATGAGCGGGGACGTGTATCTAATTAATATAAATTAGTTCCCCAGAAAATACACTAAGAAAGCTGTCCTCTAACGGTGATTACGAAATCGTAAGGATATACGTGGTAAGTGTACCAATAGTATCCCTTTATACTGAAATTAGGTATACACAGTCTCCATAAAACTTTTGACAGATATTTATGCTCCATTTAGACGTTTGAATCGAAAACCTTTTCTGTCTCTTAAAGAATTTTATAATTTGTTAGGAGTATATTTTTCATACCCATGTTGGTTAATGAGTATATATATATAGAGAGAGATATTATAATAAAAAAACAATGACTATATACATTTTAATCCTCAAAGTATCCATATAATTGCATCATATTGAGTGAAATCATTTATTTTCTATATAAAATACATTGGAAACTTAAGGAGTAAGAAGAGGGGTTATTTTTGCTTTGTTTGTCTGTTTTTTTTTTAGAGCAAAACCACAATGGGTCATCTGCTGAATCTACCGCGGAATATCGATCCTAGAATTTTTGGCGTTCTTCTTAAACTTACCATTGGTCTACCTGGCTACGGGTGGACCAATGGTAAGTATAAGGAATCTTGTAACCAACAAAATTAAGGACACACAGGCAATTTGGTGCATAAACAGTTTAGAAAACTATTTTATAAATCTGATGGAATTTTGAACCCTATCAAGTAATTCTAGGGTTCAAATAATACTTCAATGGGGGAAAAAAAAAGATGATCACGCGAACTGTATAAGAATATTAAACAGGTGGCGACATCTTTCAGTAGCCTTAAGAAAGTATAATAAATATCAGTTCCATTAGTAGAATTCTGGTAAAAAATATAGGTCTACAGGTTAAGAGTCACACTGCACGGCGTAGAATTGTTAGTTACAGTTCAAAACCATTAAAATAATTTTCCATACACACAAAATATTAGTAAATCGACGAGTCGCTAACAGCATGAAAGTTAGGGAATGTTTCTCTAGTTACGTTTATCACCAAAAAACTTTTTGCTTTTAATATAGTAACAAATAAAAATAAGTTTATTACATTCAACTTAAATAATACATTGTATAAAACAGGGTATTATCAGTTGCCGTCAGTACTAACACAGTCGTAATTTAAAGTGTGAGTTTAGTAGGTTAGTTGGTCAGTCACAATACACAGGAATGCAGAAAATGAGGTCATTACAATAGTCAGAAAATGTTAGTTCTGTAGGGTTAATTAGCGTTCATCAATGAATTATACTATATAGAATCCAGATTCTGTTTCGACCACCTCAAATCTCAGTACTAGGTGTAAATAAAGCACTCTTTGTTGCTTTGGAAAGTCACCTGAAAGATACAAGGGACAAACTCCAAAGTTCCATACACTTGGAGACGCTTTATGAGAGGAGTGGCGGTCTATTCCTACAGATGTGTACTACCGGTTGGCAACGAGTGTTAGTAACAGAGTGAAGGCTGTCAATAACGACACAGATGGGTCCATTTCTTATTCAAACTACTAGGCCAAAAATATCGAGAGATACATACGCCAGAGGGACAGCGAGTGACGTACTACGTTATTGGAATTAGGAGAAAAAATTCCAGGTGCTCTTACTTAATAACAATTATTCAACAATTCACCATATATTTATAAGGGACGCGGTGAATATGAGAATGGGATGTAAACTTTAGGATATAAGTTTTACTTATTGCCCCAGTATGACTTGTTCTGACTCGCCTGTTTTATTTTATGCTTTCCTGTCTCATGAAAATCAACTATCTTCACATAATCGAATGAACATAGTGAGTGGTAGTTCTAGTTGTGAGACATTGAGGGCTCGAGCTTATAATTACCGAATTCTAGTTTATTCCACTCACACACTGTATATAAGTCCTAATTTCGTACATGCTTCTCCTAAAAAGAATACGGCCTTCCTTTTCTATTCCGTGGTTTGTACTCTAGTTTTATTCGCCAACGGTTGCGGAAGAGATCTCTCTGCCCCACAAAAACCAATGGTATGAAGCTGGGCATATCTCCTGGTACATTAACAAGATAATTAATAGATTTAAAGTTGATAAAGACGTAAGAGAAAAAACGTTTACAAGTTTACAGGCACATCTTGAAGTCAGCGAGTGTTTTGTTGATAAAGGCAGCAGAATAAACCAGAATTACACCAATATCTTTCGACCACTGTCTTAAAAACTCCCTCGATGCAGAGTCGAATGAACTTTTGTGCGCTAGCTTGAAGGACTGTGGCCTTGGAAACTAACATCCACGCACTGTGAAGGGTATGTGAATAGTTTATTAAGATGTGTGCATATGTTTAAGATTGACTCAGAAACTTGTTACAGTATAAACTGTGGTGTCGGACAATATCACGTAATCACAACCACTAGATCGGGCGAATCACGATGGAGTATATGGTTCCAAGAGTACAGGTCCTGGAGCATCGATCTCATAATGTACGATTAACCTCAGTTTACACGAATTGTAATAAATATAATTTTAAAATAATAATCTTTTATCTTACTCTAATGAAATCTGAAACTTGATGATCTCAAATATATGAAATAAGTCGAATCTTTGGTACCAGAGAGGTATCTAAAGATTAAATCCAAACGTTTGTTTCATTACGTTGTGGTCTTTATCTACTGATCACAAAAGTGTCTTATATACGTATAAATGTTTTCGTCGCACCCTGTCCACCTGTGGGTCATCAGTAAGTCTCCGGGCTTACAAACATATGGTATTATCAGAAATGGTACTTGTAAAGTCGTTTTCCATTAAAAAAACAAACATTTAACGTTTTAACAATATTCATGTAGTTAATCATAAGTACTAGTAATTTGAGTTTGTATAGCAAATGTTCAAAAGACAACGAAAATGTCTGATAAATATGCAACCTAGTCAGTTTGCGCCTGACATCAAAAAGTAAGGATATTTTGACAAACTAGGAAGAAGCGTTGATTTAAATATCTATTATGCAACAAAAATTCAATTACAACATTAACTTATTCAGATTAAAACAAAAGAGAGTTGAAGTTAAACTAACAGGTCTCTTCTTCGTCTTTACAGTAGTAAATTTGTATATCCTGTTAAATGCCCCCCTCAAAAGTAATTCCAGAGGTTGTTTCTAGAACATTTGTGCATCACAAACTTTACTTAAGATACTAATATCCCCTACTGAACGCATAAGACGGTTACTTTTGAATCAATGTGAATGGCAAAAGACATTTTTATTTCTCTAGTGTGTTAAACACACTTCCTTCACTTAGTTGTTTAAATAAAATATAATAAATCAAAGGGTAGAGATAAGAACATTACTTGCCCTCCTTCCTGCTCTGTTGTTATGTCTGTTTAAGACACCATCTACAGTCTTCTTCGTTTTCTTTCTCATCCAAGGGCCATCAGAAAAAGAACGGGAGTATTTTATTCCATATTGTAGATTATCTGCGCAGCCGCCCCATTTGAAATCCCCGTGTGGCGGTCCAGTTGGTACATGTCCGCAGCCGCACAAGAGCAGCGTCCCGGCACTACAGGCACGTGCGACGGTGTGGCCCAAGGCAGCAGAGGAAAGGGCATACACAAAGGCTTGTTCTCTCGTCCCTGTAATGCAGTCATAGAATCAACACCCATAATAGATCATTTTATTTTAATACATCTTTTATCACGGGTGACATAACCATACATATGCTATTCAGATATGTGGATACGGGAGAAAATTTAGTGTATACACAAGTCAAGTGATGTTAAGAGGCTTTTCTAACACATTGTTTGTTTAACGCTCTTCTTCAGAGCGTGAAAGAATTTCTAGAATATGTTTGTTCTCGGAAAATAATGTTGAAATCAGTTAAAATCTAATGTGTTTTTTTTTATATATATTTCCAACAGATCATCCTCGTTCTTTATCTATGACCGTTTCGCTTGCTTTGTTTCTACAGATCTTCTCTAACCGCCGCGTCATCATGCCCATATCTTATAGGTTAGTTTGGAAAATAAACTACAAGCAACACTTCCTATGTCAACCAGTCTACGAGAAACTGTGGTAAATTGAACCATTTCTTAAAAGTGGCCACACATATTCTGTTGTATATAAGAAACTAGCACCCTTTAACTAATTCAGTATCTAAACCACTTCCTCGTCTGTAGTATCAAGCTCTACCAATCTGATTTCCCAGAACATTCTGGTAAAGTGTGCGAGCTAGTCAGGACCTTCCGTTTAATTTTCTTTAAAATATTATTTCTAATTTTAATTAGTTTTGGCCTAAACTTCAAAGTACCTCACTATAGCTCTCCAAACGTTCTGATAAGAACATAAAAATTAATCCCCAGGCTGATAATGTTTGTAACAAAATAAACATCAAGCATCTTCAATTTATGTTCTCTGTCTCATTAAGCCTAAATAAATAATTAACTGTGCTGTCCATTTCACATGCTACATAATTTCTTGTGCAATTTCTTCATGTGAATCGTACCTGTAATTGTTACATTATTATGACATGCATGTTTTTTTTTATTAATTTTACAGGGAGTGAGGAAGGGGGGGGGGGTTAAGAACTTATCTCTCTTCCTATGATCCGAATAGTCAAAAGTTAATTTGTATATAGCAGTCACTGAGTTTTAGAGCAGCCTGCAATAAAACGAACAGCCATCATTGCTTTTTATTCAAAACCAGCAAGTTTAATAGACTTTGACCAAGTTTTAGAACAGCCTGCAATAAAACGAACAGCCACCATTGTTTTTTATTCAAAACTAGCAAGTTTAATAGACTTTGACCAAGTTTTAGAACAGCCTGCAATAAAACAGCCATCATTGCTTTTTATTCAAAACCAGCAAGTTTAATAGACTTTGACCAAGTTTTAGACATGCCTGCATTAAAACAGACAGCCACCACTATAACTGACTTTTGGCTTAAACTTATAAGACTTATTCTAGATACTTTTGTTGAAAACTTACCAGTTTATTAGACTTTTATCGGATATTAGACAAGCCTGCAATAATATTAAAAGCCTCATCTGTTCGTCGTTGAAAAACTATCAATTTTATTATACTTTCACCGAGTTTTACACATATCTGCAATCGAATTGACAGCCACAAATGTTTGTTGTTTGTAAACTAGCTAGTTTATTAGTCACTAACCGAGTTTTAGACAAGCCTACAATAATACTGCCTGTCACAGCTATTGAAAGTTAGCTAGTTTGTTTGTCTTGACTACAACAAGAATATAAATAGCATCTTTTAAGAAAGAGTCAAAATAGTTTTAACAAAAACGTTCTTAACGTCTCAGCTTATCATTTAATGGACTAGTACAAACTGAATTTACTCGGTACAAAAACTGTAAAAAGTAGCTTTAGTTATACCATATGTCATATCTGTATTTCTGTTCTATTGCTGATAGGCTAAAAGATTTAAACTAGGAAACTTACTTTTTACAAAACCATTTTGTGATATACTAGCAAGGTAACAATACATTTCAGCTTTAAGTTTAGCTTCAAATTTATATTGTGAGAACTAGCAATTAATCTCAGAAATGCTTTTGAGATTGATAATTCCGTCAATTTATTTAAAGGTGTGTTAAAAGAAATGAATTAAGTTGCATCAAAAGGAGAAAAAAAAACCTACAGAAATCCCATTTTTACAAAGCAAAATATATTTGTTATCAGAAAACTGAACTATTAGTGTGCAGGTTGGGTAAAGCACATTATTTATATAGATAAACAGGTATAATTAAACATACAATCTTCAAAACATACTATAAAATATTTTAATATTACTCGAACTACAAAAATATTTTAATAACTGTACAGCTGGGAAAAAAACTGGATCGGTGACATCGCGCTTAGCTCTAAAGTCATTCAACAATTCGTGTAAATTTAGCATGCCCGTGTGAACAAGCCAAGAACTTAAATACATTTTAACCTTACGTAATCTGTACCTGATGTGAGATCAGGGGTGTAGTTTGGGGCCTGAATAATCGATGAACAGTTCCATCTTCTGTCGACAAAAGTTTCCTGACACGTTGTCATGGTAACGTTAGATGCTGTAGTGACGTAAGGCATGACCTCCAGTTCGTGCTTACAAACCTTGCACTGTCTGCCCTTGTCTATCAAGTGTCGATTCCGGGCTTGTACACACCTGGACCGCTTATCCCAAGTTATCGTCGTCTTGGCTAGAGATCTGAAAATTAAATAAACAACTACTAAAACGTATTATTGGAAACACATACCAACAGAGGGAGTGTTAACCAAATTATGTTCACGCTGAAGGATTATGTTTAGTTGGCTTAAACATCCTAGTAGTTGCATTGCCTTGTCAGCGATTCTGAATGTGACTGTTTTTGTACAAGGCAGTTACGTCATGTTTAACAAGATAAAAATCAGTTAGTGAGCTTTCTCACGTACACTAACTACATTGGCGTTCGTTCCGGCATCAAGAGCGTCTAATGTACCAAGCACGAACTACTATACTCACGATCTTTGCTCGGTTTTGTTCAGGTTCTCCTCAACACCTACAACTGAATTCCATGACCCTGCATACGTGGGTCTCAACTCTCAAAGAATTGAAACCGGCTTCTGATTTTGTAAAATCAGAAACTTGACAAAGTTCACTCAGGACATGATATTCATGGTCCTTGGACCCATTTTATCTTATGCTTTCTCTCTATACATGTATTGGTATATTTGTCTTCCACACAGCTAGAAAGATTAATATTTCTCTCCCCCCCCACACACACACTTCTAATGCGACATCTAAATTTTACGGAGTATTAATGTGGCTATGAAACATTTTGCATTTCTTAAAATAATTAAGTGCTCATAATATAAGAAAAGGCATTATTCACAACTGTACTATACTGTATTTAATAATTCAACTTCAAAACTATATCAAAACAATTAGTTTAGCTCCCATACCCCCTATATCAGAATAGTACTTTCTATGTTAAGTCATAAGTATTTTAGCGTTTATCTAAGAGTTTTCTATTCTTTACCTTTGACATTGTAGTCTTTTTTTAATTCGTTCACGAGCTAATACAGAGTTTGAGTCTCCCTGTAGTGTGTGAAATAAATTATATTATAATTGTGTTGCTCAGACATTTGATTATACTTAATATTTATGAGACATTTACTAGTATTACTCCTGAGGAAGGTTTTACTTTAGTGACTGGGTAGTATTTACTAGTAACCACTCTTGAAGGAGGCTTTACTTTAGTGAATTGGCGGTATTTACTAGTAACCATTCCTGAAGCAGGATTTACTTTAGTGAATGGGCAGAATTTACTAGTAACCACTCCTGAAGCAGGGTTTACTTTAGTGACTGGGCAGTATTTACTAGTAACCAGTCCTGAAGGACGTTTTACTTTAGTGAATGGGCAGAATTTACTGATAACCATTCCTGAAGCAGGATTTACTTTAGTGAATGGGCAGAATTTACTGGTAACCATTCCTGAAGCAGGATTTACTTTAGTGAATGGGCAGTATTTACTAGTAACCATTCCTGAAGCAGGATTTACTTTAGTGAATGGGCAGTATTTACTAGTAACCACTCCTGAAGGACGTTTTACTTTAGTGAATGGGCAGAATTTACTGGTAACCATTCCTGAAGCAAATTTTACTTTAGTGAATGGGCAGTATCGACTTTTGAACTATCTTAGCAGTATTGCTAAGATAATTTAACATCTGAACACTATCGTATTTGCTGGTGTATAAGACGATCCCATTTATAAGACGACCCTGGATTTTTTGAGCAAATTAATGTATTTCTTTTAGGTTCAGTGTATAGGTCAATCCCTATTATCAAGCAAGTCTAGGATGTTACTTTTGTAAAGAAATTCTTAGAAGTTATTTTTAAAATGCGCTAACCTGCGCTCCGGGGTAATCAATACAGCCACAAGTGTGTTTTTTAAGCACTTCAAATGCTACAGACAGTTCAATGTGGCATAACTTTAAGTGACAAACATGTACTAAACAAGTTTACAAAGTTTTAATCACAGTTGAACTTTTCTATCACACAAAATACTAAACCTTAAGCTATTATGTCTTACTGTAATAACATGTTTACAAGATTAGTGTACATTACAGAAATTATTTTAATCACAGTTGAACTTTTCTATCACACAAAATACTAAACCTTAAGCTATTATGTCTTACTGTAATAACATGTTTACAAGATTAGTGTACATTACAGAAATTATTTTAATCACAGTTGAACTTTTCTATCACACAAAATACTAAACCTTAAGCTATTATGTCTTACTGTAATAACATGTTTACAAGATTAGTGTACGTTACAGAAACTATTTTTTTTAAATATAATATGAGCAATATTTTAGTATGACAGATGAGATCAATACGTTTCAAAGGAAAAATGTGAAATAAATAACTTATAGTTATGAAGAATGACATACATGATACAATTACAAATCTTTTATTGTAACGCGGTAGGTAGCACGATGTCAACGTAATTACTCAATAAGGTAAACAAAATAAAAGGGAAAATATGCTATTAACGGGAGAGTCCGTCTTTACTGGAACTCTATCTTTCAACCAGTGCATAAGACGAGGGGTAAAACCAGGCGTTGTTTTAAGAGTAAAAAGTATCGCAACTAAGTAAAACTTGTTCTTCAGAGTAAATTGCTGATTGGATTATTTACGCCTGGTTGACTGAAGATATAAGTGATTACATATTATCATAACTCAAAATTAGTGTAGTCTAAAGCACAGAATCGAATCAGAGTAAATAGAGTTTATTATATTTCGTTCAGAAGATTTTACAAGTTGAAGAAAAATAGAAATGGATTTCCGGTTGACATTCCTCTCGTATCAGGAAAGCAGACTATAAAAATATACCAATAGCTGAAGTTATGTCCTAGACAAGAACATCCAAGTTAAAAAACGCTATTATGTTAACTAAAACGTGAAAGCCCCCCAGTGGCACAACGGTATGTCTGCGGACTTACAACGCTAGAAACCGGGTTTCGATACCCGTGGTGAGCAGAGCACAGATAGCCCATTGTGTAGCTTTGTGCATAATTACAAACAGAACGTGAAAAGGTTACTACAGACACGGGAAATGGTTCATGTGATGGCAAAGTGCCAGAAATCTCACAAGTTGTTTTTATACGCAATAATTTGAAACTGATCGATACGAGTTCAACCAAGGGCAGCTTATCTCTCTCTTATCGCATATTTCTTAGTGTAAACTGTACGTTCTGTAAGGATATGTCTATATACGTATACTGTACTGCCCCTAATTAACGCCTCCTCTCTAAATATCAGTACTTTTATAAAGCTTACCTTGTGTGACAGCAGTATTAATCCAACATATAATCCAATTTTTATTATCGTAATTTTGGTTTGAAAAAAAAAGAAACACACACATACACACACACACACATATTAG